TGCTTGTAGTGCAAAGGTGATATAGAACATAACATATCAGCCACCAGAACCTGAGCGATGAAAACGCTTCAGTATTTTTAAAACTTTAAACTTTTGAAAGCAATTTACGCATCCGAAATCTTATTTTGTAAACAATGTTGTTTACTTCGCTGCGCGGACGACGGATCACGGTGGACGAGCATGACTTTAACTAAACATTTCACTGGATGTGGCTGCCTTAAGAGAAAATGTCAGGATACTTCGAGAAAGTGTTAAAATAGCTAGTAAAAAAAGTAAAATATCCTGATCGGGATACAGAATATGAACCTCGAGAATTATTTAAAAAAATGTTGCTGACCGGAAAAAAGACTTGGGCACAAGGAAAGAGAATCTGCTGCAGTTTTTTACGCTCTTTTCAGCGGTATGGTCAAAACTTTCTGCGAACATCTCCATTTTTTCGCTAATGAATTTTACTTAAAAAATTCGAATTTATATCCCGATTGGGATATATGTTTTTTGGCTACATAAGACGCATGCGCTTCGTGCTAGTCGAGAGAGAGTGGATTGAAGAAATTTAAGTGAACTGATTTCTTTCTTAAAAGAAAAAGACAAAATATTTCTTCTTTTGAGACAATTTTGTTTGGTTTTTTCCTTTCAACTAGAAAAATGCGTGTGTCTGTGTCTAATGTTAATGAAATGAGTGTAAAAGGAAACAAAGAGAGAATAACAAAAAGAAAACTATATATTGAAATTAACAATGTAAGGTTAACTATTTCACTCATTCTATTAAATAATTCTATTAAATTCATATTGTCATAGTTATTGGACACTTGAAATCATTTTTAAGTTGGAACTTCTCAAGGATTGTTTGTTTTTGAACAAAATGTGCATGAATTTGAAATATTTTTTAGATTCTTGAGACATAATGATTTCGAAATATATTGAATTCTCGGGTGTAGAATACACTTTTAAATACTAAGTAAATGTTAAATCCAAAACTTTACTTTCTTATATTGAATTTATGCAAACTTTTCAAAACTTCAATTTACTCAACTCACTTTTTACTCATTCAACTTCACTTCAATTTACGAAAATAGTATGACTTCGATTAGTTTCTCTGTATCAACAAAGGCCATTCTTACCTTAGCAAACTCAAAAGTCCAAAAAGTTAAAAGAATGCACTTTTTGTAGTAACAAAATACTTGCTCTCGACATTAGCAATTGCTAAGACCTTTTGAAGCTGTTGTTTATTTCATCAATAAATTCTACCTGCAATTCTACCTGCAGGGACAAACTGCGGACATTGCGATGAAATTAGTGAACATTATTTCTTTGCTTGTAGTAAGTACACGACTGAGAGAAACCTTCTTCTAGCAAAGCTCAAACTTTTAAACACAACGATAAAATCGAAAGTTTCACTTTTTTTTCATTTTTCAAATCACCGAGAATATTGAAAATGCTTATAATGCGTACTTCGGTACGCGCTAGTGTTTTCTTTCCTTAAATAGATGAAACTTAAATTAAAGTCGTAAATATTATGATGATTCAATTTTCGTCCTTACTCTGATGAATGTTTCAAATATAACTATTGAATGATAGATCATTATATTAAACTTCTACTTTTGGCACTAATGTTGTGTTAACATTTGAATATCTTTGAGCTAAAAGTAAATAATTTAAAAGACGGCTCATGCGTTATGTGAATTTTAGTTAAAAGATACCAGTAAAATTCATAACTCGTTATGGCTATGTAAAATATCTGAATTATCACTTAGAAGTAGCACAATACAAACTTGGGAGATAGAGCCGTTACTAAATTACCCTCTATACTAATGTAGTATTTTTATGAAATTAATTATTTTCCTGAATACTTTTCTCGAATAACTGACGATGCACTACGAATGCGACTACACAGTTCCGTTCTACGGACTAATTCTTATTCATGATTGGTAAATTTATTGTCTCAAAGACAATAAGACAATAGATTTACCAGGAAACAGCTCCATCATTACCACAAAGGGTCCCAAGTAATACTGCGTCACCTCGCTCTCTGTGATGAGCGTAGCTGACAGTACCATTCTAAAGCACCATCTCTTAGAAACTGGGATATTCCTTTGGGTAATTGTTGTGGTTTCCAATTATTAACTGTCTCCGTATATTCACGTATTCGTATTAGGAACTGCCAAGGTTTTTCCGTTATTTTTTCATGAAATAGTGGCGCTGTAGCCGAGAGTAGAATAATAATGATTTGTGAGTCCGGCACGGCCGTTAGTCTAACTGATGTGTTGTTATTTTCAAAATTTGCTGTGTTAGATTATTGCGATTCGAACGCTATTGGCTCCTGAGTTGAAGTGAAGTCTCTGAACTTGGACGTATGTGGGCAATATCTAATAGTTGTGACTTTAGGTCTGTAGTAAAGCTATCAAATTTGTCAAAACTTTTGCTGTACGATTGCTCGTTCGATTCCTTGTATGTTTCTAGCTGGCTCCTACCTGTATTATTTGTGCAACTATCTGGGCTTTTAATTGCTGTATTTGGTTATCAGTTCTCTGAATATATTCTCTGATTCGTGTATTCATTTCTGTCATATTTTGCTGAATTTCTTCCATTATTAGGCTTTTTGTGCGTATTTGCTCGCTTTGATTTTGCTGAGATGTAGAGAAATTATGAATGACTTGTCGAAGTGGGATCGAGTTACCACTGTCTACCGGCATAGTGAAATTTTATGCGGCTGATAGTACTTGATAATAATATTAGTCAAAAAAAGTTCGAAAAGAGATGAAGATGAAAGGACAATGAGAAGAATGGCACTATTCTTCACAGGGTAGTCATGGGAAAAATATTTGAAAGAGAACGGTTTTCCACTTATCGGAGAACGGTTTGCATTGTTTAGAGAACAGATATTTTTTATAGCTGAAAACAGAACGGATAACATTGTTTGGAGAATGGTTTTTGAATTTGTATGATTTGTATCGACTACTTTCCAATCGCGTCTGGGCATAACTTTAGATTGTGTCGAATTTTAGAATTGCTCGTGTTGACTGCGTATTTATACTTATGTTTTGTTGAAAGATGATGAAATCCATCGCGAGTATGTTATACAGTCATATGTATTCTTCACGTGATGTAGATTTAGGTCTAACTTCTCTCCAGTTATCGTAGTTTAGACTACATGCTTTATTTTTAATTTAGTCAAAAAAATTCAAAAACCATGCTCCAAACAATGTTATCCGTTCTCCTTGCGTTCATCCGTTCTCTTTTCAGCTATAAAAAATATCCGTTCTCTAAAAAATGCGAACCGTTTTCCGAAAAGTGGAAAACTGTTCTCTTTCAAATTCTTGTCCGGTAGTCATGTTTTTCGAGTTTGTTATGCTTCAGAAGGAACTCATTTAAACAATGTGTGACGCAAATGCAATGAAGTTGATATATAGGTATTTATTTGTAAAAAGAAAAGAAGAAATGACGATAAAGAAGTTTTTCCTTTGTACTGATGAATTGACGGTTTTTTCTCTTTCGCTTCTGTGAATTGCTTCAGGATAAAACCAAAACACTCATCGCTCACCAGAAGAAGCGGTTGATTTGATTTCATTAGTCACACTGTTATGTATGAACTGAAAGAACAAAAACAAAGAAACTTACAACAGAAATGTAATATGTCCACAAATAAATGTCTTGCAGAGTGAACCTGTATAACGATGACGAATGATGAGAACTTCCAAAACTTCAAAATTAGCTTCCTACACGCGTGTCTATCTAAATTCATAGAGAACTGGTTTATTTATCCCAGTGGTGTCGCTGATTGAACAACTATCACCTTGTTGCAAATGGTAAGCTTGAAATAGTAATTGCATTCTGAAAAAAATATGAATATCGGCAAAAACGTTTCTTCTTCTGAGACCGCCTTTCTTGTGCGCATGTCACACAGAAGAGTCTTGTGGACGAACCTTGTGATATAATTCTTTCGTTGTATATTCACCTGTCACACTACTTTTTTAAAAAATTAACGAAACGCCTCACAGGAAAGACAGACATTAACAAATTCAAAACAACTTGGCTATTTGAGGGGAAAACGTTGATATTTAAAAGGAGCACACACAATCTATTTATAAAAACAACGTTTCGGTACACTTTATCAGGAGAGTTTCAAGCTATTTTGTTATAATTACACTGTAAATGAAAAAAATGTAGAATATCAACGTTACTTCTCTTCTAAGACCTGACCGTCAACTTGGGCAGAGACGTGTTCTCATTTTCGTTTCATTTTCTTTCTTTTCTAAATTTCTTTAACTTTGCCGTATCCATCGATGCACCTTCACCACCTTTACATGTTCACATTTCTAACTACCTTTCTAAGTGTTCAGGGGCCTTCGCCAATCGTGTAATCCTTTCCTAGTTATAATTTCTAAAGTCAAAAAAAAACTCGATTTAGCTTAGGTGCTACAAATCTATGCCAAATTTCTAACTTATTGCATCTGTCAGCACGCTATCCAAACGATCAGTCCAAGTAACATTTCATGTGACCCTTTAGATTAAACACACATGGCCCTTACAGAGATATGCTCTAACATCCTCCTTCGCTGCTACGAGGATGCACCACGAGTTTCTGTTTTTAGTTTCTTTTTACCGTTTTAAAAGGCACTTGTTATGTGCTTCTTTCCAAATACAATATAAACAAAGAAGTCAGTGTGACTAACCGACGTATGCGCAACCCGACAGGTGCGCTACTCACACTTCGCCCGAAAACTTTTCAAAATATTGAACACACTCAATTGCGAAGGTGCGCAGCAGAATAAAAAGTCTTGCTGTTTACGTAGAACACTCAGAAAAAGTCTCTCTCGATCACTTATTAACGAAAAAAAGCAACGCAATGCCAAACGAAAAGGAAAAAAAAGCATTTTAATGGTTTTAGCGAAATAATATGAGTAATGAAAAAATGGAAGAAAAAATATATGAATCATATAACTCCTAAAAGAAAGCAAAAGGGAGTTGAAATGTTTTTTGAGCATAATGCACAGTCAGTTTCAAGGTTCACACTCTTCCAGATCAATTCGACTTAAACCGTCAACATTTTTGTCTATTTGTGTTACTTTAAATGCTGTAAATGGCACAATAAGAACCTCTTTTTCTCCTGGATATTCTGATAATACATCAATATCGAGAGCTGTTCGAGGATTCTTTGTGAGATAAGTGCATAGAACAGGTAAACGTACGAAGCTGCCTGACGGATTTTGTCGTTTTCCTAACAGAAAGTTTTCTGCTGCAGTTTCTACTTTCGATGTAGAGAGGAAGGAACGTGTCATTATCGATGATCCAACGGCGTATTTTGATAGATTACTTTCGCTGATATTCATACCACGATAGGTTTTACCAGTGGTGTAGTACGGTTGAAACATCTCATGATTAATAAGGATTGCAGCAAACAGATACTGTCCTTGATTCTTCGGTGGTATATCATCTCGATAGCCCGTACCGAGATGCGAATCGATACCTTCAAAACGAAAGTCAGAACCGAGTTTAGCTAGATTTCTGTTCAATATCGAATAGAAACTGGTCTCTGCCGTATAAATATTGACGAGCGATCGAGGAGTCTTCTCATCAATTGCTTTGTGAATCAAAAGTTTTAAAAACTTGTAGTCTTGATCTGTCCCTGTCCGTTCGTGCAAATCAGTTTTCATGTTATCAAGGTAACCCCTATCAATTTCTTCCAAAAGCTTTTTCAATGCAATTTTTGTTGTCCATTTTTTCATAAAACCATGATTATCCTGTGCAATACGATAGGCATTTGGATAGACGTCATGCCATTCAATGTCAATCTCACCTACGAAACGACTGTGTTCGACCTCTGTAGACGATTGTTGTGGTGGTGTTGGACGCTGTACGAAAAGTTGTTTAATTTCATTTGTATTCGCTTCTTCGTAAGGTGTGCAGTTAGAAGAATTCTTTTGTGTACGACATATTTGAGGATTCTGTAGAAGGAGTTTAACGATTTCAATGTGTCCGAAGAAGGAGGCAGCATGTAAGGCAGTACTACCGTTAAGTTCTTTCTGATTTAATTGCTTAGCAGTCAGTGTAGGAAGAATGTGGTGTACACTGGCTATATCGCCGTTGCGACATGCGAAATAAAAGTCGCTACATTTCAGCTGACCCGATGCAGTTGCCATTTATGAGAAGCTTTGTATCTTTTCTGAAAGAGAAGGTAGAGTTTGCTATAGTTTGACGTGTTTACTGCACTTAGTAGAATCGTCAACTGTTTATAAAAAAAAGAACTTTGTCTTGTCTAATCTAATACTCGAAAGCTTGTTAGTCAGTTTTTAAAAGTACAAAGTCATTATGACCGGGGGCCAGCTTGTACGACCTTCACTTCTCGCACATTCCTTCTTTTGCCACCCTCTTATCAGAAATAATCTTTAATGAAAAGAAATAAATCAGCAGCTGAAGCGATACAGTACACGATTCCGTTACAGATGAGTAACAGGAATAACTAAAAAGAGATATTAACGAAAGAAACAAAAAACAAACTTTTCTTCTTACGTACTATTCAAAACAACATGAAAGATTAAACTTTTCTTATGGTCACCAACTTCAACTGCAAGATTTTTTCACATTTCTTCGGCTCTCTTTCATTTCGCCTCTCATTTAAAAATGAATAAATTAATATCCGTCGTTACGAAAACAGCAACCAAAAAATATAGGAGAGAAAGAAAGAGTAGTTCGAAATCTGTAAGAAATATAATCAGAACTTCTTAGACATCAATGCAAGGATGGGAAAAGAATTCACAGAACAGAACACAATTGTTCCGTTACCAGAGAAATTTTCCCAATAAAAGAACAGGACTGTTCTGTTTCGGGAACAGGATTGTGACTAACTTCTAGACTTCAGGAGTCCCATGGAGTCGGCTATTTCCCCCTTGCATCAATGTCACAGCCTTAGTGTTCGTGTTTTTTAACGATTGAGGCACGAATCTCTCCACAAGAACGAGATCTCCACAAGAAAAGATCATTTATTTGAGAACATACACGTTGATTTTTAGCAATACAATAAATTTACAAAAAGATCAAACCATTTTGAAGTTCATTTGTAGCACTCTTGACTGTCTTTGCGTTCATTTAAATACATGACTACAGTACACACTGATCAAAAAATATCCCCATGATCTTCTGTTCTCTGTTTACTTAGATGAACAGAAAAATTCATTTTCTTTGAACGATTGTACAATTTCTCTACCATATTCTTCTGTAAATCTCAATGTTATACCAACAGATAGTTGTTTTAAATTTGTTAGTCTCGATAGAATTTCTTGTCATCGTTCGCAGAGCAAAACGTCTGTATATAAATATACTATTCCATTATTAACATATTGTCTTTCAATTTCTAGCCAATAAAGTTTTGGCATATTGTTTAATAATATTTCAAAATTATGAAAGCAAGTTTTATAACAATCAAGTTTTAAATATAATTTAACTTTACATTGTGATGGATATGGTGAGTGAATTGGGCTACCAAAGTTGGAGGTTTACCTGTTAAATTTAAATGTCTTAAATTTGGAAAATGACGGCAAAGTAAAAATAATTGCTCTAATCGAAAACGGCTATCGGCGACATTTATTGATAAATATTTCAGAGCTGATGTTGATGTTGGTTGTTTTGAAAGAAGGTCTAGACTGACAGTGTAATACAGTAGTGGGGAACTAATATAAACTTCAAATGTTGAAAATAATTTCATTTTTAAAATACTTTTCAAACTCATTGATAACAGATTCGTTTCATTGTCAGGATCGCAATCAAATCTTAAAAAGATTTGAAAAGTAATCGCGACTCGCTCTAAAGCGCGACACGACAATACTCGCTGTGGCCCGACACAAGAGATCACTGCGATCACGGCGCGATTTCAGGAGTAATCGCGAGAAAAGTGCGGTTGGTTTTGAAGATCGCGTCTGCGTAGCCATCACGAAAATCGCGTCTTACTTAGCGAGTCGTATAGATAATGCGTTCGCGTTACGACTTTTATAGCGCGAACGTTGACCTGGGCCTTCTTACATTTCGATCTACTTTGCGTCAGCTTTTATTATCTGTTGCTCGTCATCGTCACTACAATTCGCTTCGGGAACTAATGTTTTCTTAAATACCTTCTCTTTTAGACTAGCGACTAATTGAAATTACAGCTGAATCACTACGTTTCTATTTGACAAGATGACTAGTGATAAATCGCAGGAATTATCAAATATGGTTGATGCTATTAATATTCTAATGAACAAAGCCAATACACAAAAGGAAACGCAAGTTGTGTGTCAAAAAGTGTCCGAAATGAAAACTAAATGGGAACATACATTAAAACCAGGTAAACATGGACGACCACCAGCTCTGCCAATACTAGATGAATGGTTTGAGTTATTTTCGAAAAGTTTTTCTAACACATTAAAAAAAACACAAAATCTAGTTGAACAATTTTGTTCGAACAAGGACGATAAAGTTGCATTAGAATGTTTGAAAAGTATTGTTTCACACCTGCTGCGACATGGTTATGAAATTGATATTTGGATTAGTTCAGAAAGAGAAAGAACAACAGCACCTTCATCTCAGAGATATTTATTAGACACTATAAGATACTTTATTTTGCTTGATGAACGTCGAGAAGCGTTTGAGAGTTTAAGAGTAATGCCAAAGAGTTTACTAACGCTTAATAACCAGTATAGTTATGTAATTCAACCCTATATCCAAAAATGTATCTTTTTACATCAATCTGTTCCAGCTCGTGGATTAGTTGAAAATGTGCAAGAGTTTCTAAATCACTATACGATGCCTCCTCTTCCTCTGTCTTCTGCAGATCAAACTAGACTTCAGAACGCTTTAAGTCGCATTGATATTCCCCTAAATTACATATATATGGATCTAAAAGCTGATAGTTCGTCCGCGTTAGAGAGAAAGGCAGCGCGAAGAGCGGTTCTTAGAGAACAAACAGACGATGATCCAGAGCTTTATCGAAGATTAGCGAAAGCTCCGTTAATGCCCTCATTAGTTGAGAGAGATCGAGCAGGTCAGGTTAAGTTAGTTGATTTTGTTAGCGTTTTACAAGTTGAACGGTGGTTAGTCATATTAGGAGACCCTGGCAGTGGAAAAACGACATTTGTGCGTTGGTTAACGTTTCAGTATGCAAATGCAGTAAGTGAAAAGCTAGAATTTGTGAGAGATCCTTTAAGTAATTCTGTATTGGGTCCCGCTCGTATGCCAATTTTAATTCGCGTTGGCGAATTAGCAGAATTTATTCGTTTTAATGGCACTTCGACGTTATTCGATTACATCGGGCGTCAAACTTGGATGGGAATTTCATTGTTCGACGGCTTAGTAGGAGAATCAGACGCTAGACGGACGACAGCCGTCGTACAGGAATATGTAATACAGGGACGAGCATTAGTGATATTAGATGGTCTAGATGAGATTCCAGCATCTGAACATCGACGTAAGATTGTACAACTAGTCAGAGAGTTCGTTGGACTCTATATATTAACGCCGTTGTTTGTTTCTGCTTATGATGATGTAACGACTGTAGAAAGCAGAGTAATAAATCCTAGAAGTGACAATCCACTGCAATCTGGTGGTAATCAGTTGATTGTTACTAGTCGCATTGTCGGCTATTATGCTCAACCTCTCACTGGTGACTTTATCGCTCACTACATCATCATGCCAATGTCTGTTAGTCAGACCAATGCTTTCATTGATCGCTGGTATTCTAATGTACACAGTGAAGTTGTGCACATAATCTCTTCCAACTTACCAAAGCTGAAGAAGAATCAAATTAACACAGAATTCCAACGGGCGGCAGATAAACTCAAATCAGAAGTTGAGAAAAGCATCGGCCTAAAGCAGCTAGCGTCTAATGCACTTCTAGCTTTTATTATATGTTCGCTATCATACCGTACGTACGGAAAACGACTGCCTAAACAACGAGTTCATTTGTATCACGATACTATCACTGCAATGCTGCATATATGGAAAACAAGAGGTTCTACTATTTCAGAGCATACACTTAATCTACTGCTGATAGTCTTAGCTACTCATATTCATCAAAATTCACCTTCTGGACTCATTGAGGAATTTGATATGAAGCGTCTCTGTAAAAAAGAATTGACACAGCTAGTAGAGTATAGAAATGATGCAAGTGCTCGCGAGAAGACGGCGGATGAATTTGTAAGATTAATCTGTGAAGATGTCGGTGTATTGGCTGCTAGAGGCGAAAAAGTCTACGGGTTTTTGCATTTGACATTTCAGGAGTATTTCACGTGCTTAAATACAGTGAGAACGAAGAACGGAGAAAACACTTCTGTTATTAACCTAGAGGCAACGACCATGATTACTGATGAAGAAATAAGTGAAGTGATTGACAGATTTCTTTACCATGTTAATGATCCACGTTTTCGTGAGCCTTTGTTTCTGGCATTAGGCTGGATTAGCTGGAAGTGGAATTCGAATAATTACTATAATTTATTTTGTTTGCAATTGATAGCAGGCAACGGCGAGGAAGGCTTTAATGAACATCTACCTTTAGGAGCATTGCTGCTAGTTTCAGCATTCGGAGATCTTGACCGTTTACCATCTAAATTCATAATCTTTGATGCTTTCAATCGCCTGCTAACAGCTGCTGGTAAGCATGATTGGCAGATAAGTTATCCAGAATTTCAAAATCAAATAGTTGAGGGTCTTAATCAACTAGAGCCTTCTTTAGCGTCTGAGTGTGTTTTGAATTTTATAGTGGAAAACAACGCCTTCTCCACGGAAAACGTTTCTGCGCTTTGCTCTATTTTACCTATTGAACTCAGAGTTAATCGTAAAGTATCATGGTTGACTGCTGAGATCTGTGAAGCTTTTGCGAACCTATTGCCACTGGATGATGAGAGAAACGGATTTTCTATTGATTTAACTCTCTGCAAGATTACCACTGTAAATCATCGTCTCTTACCCACACCTGCGCATAGTCTAAAGTATTATTTATTAAATAAATCTATTGCTACTAGTACTATTCATCCTTCTATTTTGGCTTTGATCATTGCCATATGTGGTGGATTGTATAATCACGTGCAAGGTTCTCAGACCGCTGTTCTTTTCTCTCCTTTATATATGCATCGCACTTCACCTCTGTCTACTGTCTTAATTGAATATTTCACAAACGCTTCACAGAAGCCTCATTCTCAACGATGTCAGAGAATAGTAGAATACTGCAAATCAGTTCTACAGAGGTCTACTGTGAAGGACAGATCATTGGAAGTTGTTGACTGTTTTATCGCTTTACTCACTTTGATGGGTGTTGAGTTTTTCTCATTGAACGACGATTATTCATCATATACTGCATTTAGCTTAGCACTGAACAGACATAGAAGAAGTTTAATGCAGATTCGGCATTATTTTAAGTCTATTGCTTTTCGGAAAAGTGTTGAAATGGGCACGTATTTGGTGGACGAGTTTTTTGAATTTCATCAGTTCAGCAGCTTTGAAGCGCAGTCTACTAGGCCGCAATTTGATGAAGTCTCAATCAAAAAGTTGTTCGCATTTGTGGACGCTGTAGCGGTATCGCTAACCCGCATATCATCATGCTGGAAAGCATTGGAACTAAAATTACCTGATGTTTTAGGAAAGAAAAAGTTCGTTCGACACTTGATGAAACTCGCCACAAATGCCGACCAGAGTTTTCCCGTATCGTCAACTTTTTCTGATTACATGCGTTTACAGTGTCCAATGGTGGATTTAAAATCGCCCAATATAGATCTGAACTGTCTCTCCTCTACTGATGTTTTTAAGTTTCGTAGTAAAAATCATCCGATGATCTTATGGCGTGATAATTTAGCATTTCTTCCAGCGTTCGTTCCTCAACCGCTACAACATCTCTTTCTGCGAATGATTATGAAGAGCAAGTTAGAAGTGCAGAAAAATCCGCCAGAAGTCCATACATTAACCGAGTTACACCTTTTAACAGAAGTAATAACAGCCATGAAATATCCCTTGATCAACGGTAACCGTCAGGTTTTGCTAGTGGTACTTCTTCTGCCACTGTTTCGCTACTGGAAAATCGAGCATTATGCTCTTGCTTCTGTCTGGAAACAGGGTCTGAACGAAGTTAAAAAAAACTTTTACGAATTCTATAAACAACTCCAAAAAAAGGCTGAGCCGGAAGAAAGCTTACTAAAAGCTGAGTCTAGTGACATAAAATTAGCAGTTGCAGAGGAACGGAAGCGTATTCAGGAAACCCTATTGCAACTAGATCAAACTATCAAAGTTGAAGATGCTGATTTACAACTGTATGCTGCGGCTATTTCTCTCGCGCATCTATCAAGTTGTGCTACAGGCATACCGAACACGAAGCTTTTTAACGAGGCAAGAGTGCCGGTGGAGTTAATAACAGATCCAGTTCTAAAGATACGTGCTCTAAGTGTGATGTTGAAACTGGCCAGCCATGAAGTAGCTGTTGAACAACTATCTCTCCTCCAAGAAACGTTAGAAACAGTAGTCATGAATATAAAATCAGGTATACCTATTTTGCTCTACTCTTTCGTCGTCGTTGACTGTATTCCGCTATTGCAATCTGAAACGCTTATTGAACGGATAATTAAGAATATATTTCTGGAAATGGAACAAATGAACGCGAATCAGACGAACGATACGAGAGAAGATCAAATGGCTACATGCGAAGCACTTTGTTCATTGTCCGACAGTTATTCGCCGATACGTACGTATCTGGACAATTTTTTTCAAATTTGCGGGTGGCCTGTCGTGGGTTTTCTAACAAAATGTTTGCATTTATCTTCTGTAGCCTTGAAAGATTTTCTTAGTCCCAATGCTACAGAGAAATGCAGAAGCCACAACAAAGACGAATCGCATTCGATTTTTTATGCCTGTTTGCTTCTTTGTGAAACTATAATAGACACTCATCAGTTGACAAAGTGGATGAATCGACAAAGTTTTTTGCAATCCAAGCAAATAACAACTTTAGACATGTTTAACATTGCTTCTGAAATTTCAAAAAAGCTTTCGCAGTTGGAGAACGATCCAACTCAACTTCAATTAGCTGATTCTCAGTTAAGAAATCATTCTGTAATCTATCTTTCAGCGCGCGCGATGGTTTCACAGTGGCTGCATTACTCAGAAACTTCATCTTTGTACATATTATCAGGTCATGCAGCTCTACTATTAGCTGCTTCCAATTTTTTCAGTGTCCTCTCCGTAGACGTAGTCTGCCGCCTGTTAATGAGTGAGAAAGACAGATTTCGTCAACGTGCAGAATTAATTCTAAGTCGACAGCGTCGACTGAGTTCACAACTTGGGTGGGATGTATTATATGCATTCATCAGGAATTGGGTCTACTATCGATCTCGTAATGCTTATGTAAGTGTAGTACTGTTGTGGATGTTCGAAAGAGTTGAGATTAATGACCTCGATCACATGTCTGCTATAATGCAAATTGAACTTGATCGAACTCGTTTTGTATTGTATGAACAAGCAAAAGGAGAAGAATTTTTGAACGATAATGACGACTACAAAGAATTTCAATTAAAAGGCATGGACGTGAATGTTTCCATTGCATATCTAATACATAACACGAGTACTGATGTAATGAAATATTTTACAGAATATATTATATCTCTTTTATCTGCTAAGAGTGACAGGTATGAGGGCGAATTGTATGACCAGCACTTGTCGATGCTGATCTTTCATGTTGGAAGAAACATATTCAGTAATCATCCGAACGGAAGCTATCCGTTGGAATTGCTAGCAAACACCTTAAAAGACCTTCTCAGTAAACAAAACTTTGTCAAATTCAGAAGAATTCAACAAGCAGTAGGTGCTGCGCTTGGCTTTAATATCATTGGCCTTAACGCGAGACAAGGTTCCCGATGTTATCTGAGAGCTGCGCAACTTTATGCCAAACTAAAGAAGAAGCTCAGAACTATAGAGCCCTCGAATAGATCAGTACGAAAAGAACACTATTCAGAAATTACCGCCATATTAATCGAGGCGACATCCCATACACGTTTAGACATCCATTATGGTAGCTATTACGAATCACAATGCCTTGGTTCTGATCTGGACAAGCTTTTACAGATATTTGGACCGGAGAGTTATGAATTGTGTTGCGCTTTCTTGATTGCAAGTAGTGGTTACTTTTTCGTATCACAAGAGCATAATGGTAGAATGCGCACAGTGGCCCAATTCATCGTAAGGCATCCGTCGCTTCTTCCCAAATTTATTAACGATCTGTACGATAGTGTTAAACACATCGCTTCAAACGTACACTATGGTTACGAAAGTTACCAACACGTTCACTTTGGAGATCCAAGTTTTGTTGAAGTTGCAGCCGAACTAGTAAAAGAGATGCCCGCTGCATTCTGTGCTGAAGTTCAACGAAGCTCCTTTGGTGAAGCTAACTTTAAAAAAGCGTTGTACTGCACAAGTATTCAACATAGATTTCCTCGTCGTGTTGCCTGTATAGAAGTGTTGTCCATTTTCGGTCAATTAACGGTTGATATGTCGAAAATGTTTGTTAGCGCACTTCAAGATAGTGCTCATTTACAGCGTGCTGTTTTTAGATGTGTCTCACGAATACGTGAAGCAACGAGAGAAGCAATTGAGTACTTGTATGAGTATTTAAATTCAGATTCAATGAATGCACGTTATACAGTTGCAAAATTGTTAGTCAACTTAGCTCATCAGGATGTTGTTTCCGTTAGAGAGGTACAGCGAGCTTTAGTTGTGGCGATGGAAGATCCTTCAGCACAACAAGAGCTATGGATTATAAAAAATCATGAAGGTGCAGATGCTACTGAAAGGATGTACGTGTGCCTATCTCGGTTAAATCAGGCATTGTATGGTCTGTTGGTACAGTTATCTTTTCTTCGTACCAAGGACAGTATTGAACAAACTTTTCATGTGAATGAGAGTGAAAGCCTTACGAGCACTGTTAACAGCCAGTTTGAAGATGCTATTAAAGCTGCAGGATTAGCAACATGTATGATAAAAAACGAAGTAAGCGCAGAACAAGGATAGAAGTGTGTTTTGGTTTAGTAGAAAATCGCGATCTGAAAGTCGAACTTAAGAATCTAAAAACGTGCTAAATTTCAACTAATCCACGAGCATTTTTTCCCTAACATATTAAATAGTTTCTGTTTCATTTTTTGTACCTTTCTTTTCTCAAATTAGTATCAATTTTATAGTCGTTCACTTTACACATTCAACTCATTTTTTTTGTTTTGTTTTGCAACGTTTATATACTGTGTTCGATGTAAAAAGCGAACTTTTTTCTGAAAATATCTTACATAAGCGCGTGTTTTTTGGAAATAAAAATAAATTGTTATCATCTTTGGCACAATGCGTGTGAACCCTTGAGCTTTGTTTATTTCTGGCGTGTGATCTGACGATGATGAAATAACTTTAAAAAATATCTGAAGTTCTGGATGAATGTTATAAAATTACCTACAAAACTTATTTTTTCCTGAAACTTTCCTGTAGTTGACGGTAGATCAAATTCTGAGCAAAATGAGAGACTTGCCGAAGTTAGACAAGCTCCTTTTATGCCGAAAATTCGGTGACTGGCTATCTTAAACAACAAAGTTATAAGTGCGACTTTTAAAGATAAATCTCAATCCAAGTCGTCTCTTCGCACTCATATCAGCGAGAAGTTCCTTCACAGAGATGGGCGAGTCAAGCCATTTTTCGAGTCGAGTCGAGTCCGAGTCATTTCGTAGCGGCTTCGAGTCGAGTCGAGTCGAGTCATCAGCGTTCTCGAGTCGAGTCAAGATATTTTTGCCATTTTTTCGTTTTAGGTTTATTTTTATAAAGAAAATTAACAAGTTTTTCGTGACACAATATTTAGTTCCTAGTTCTTAATTCACGAAAAAACCAAAGTCCTACATGAAATGAAATGACACAAGTACTATAGATTTATCAACAAAACAAGAACATCAAAATCAAC